AAGGGCTAGGGCACTTTTTCTTCTAATGTACATAACCTGGCTTTGTCCACCATGTAGCCCAAATAGGTCACTTGGGAGACCATTTTCCCTTCTTAGGTGTACATTTGTCTTGGAAAAAAAATCCAAGTTCTCAAAGTGTTTCCTATTAGTTTTCTGTTATGAGGACATTGTCGACATAAATGGCAAGCTGAGATGGACCTTGTAAAATGTTCTTCGTTGTCTGCTGAAAAACTGAACAGGCTAACAGTGTGCCAAATGACAGTCTTGTAGACTGGCACAAGCCCTTATGGGTATTAATTGTAGCATACTTCTGAGAATCCTGGTCTAACTGCAATTGCTAGTAATTGTGGCTTGTGTCTGGTGTTGAGAAGGAAAAACTTTCCACCAGCTTTGTGTACAAATCCTCTATCCAAGTGACTGGGTACTTATCCAATCCTGAAGAAGTTTACTGTTTAAAATCCCCAAAGTTGAACTGACCCAGCTGGCTTCAAAATTAGTTTGACCGGTGCTGCTCAACATGCAAAATTGCTTTGGCTCCTCATAGTCCCTAAGCTTTCCTCGAAACCACCAGTTATTTGATACAGGCTAGGTGAATCTCTCAACCGATTTCACCCCATCAAGAATGATCCTCAGCCTTCTACCACAATAACTGGTAACTGAACCAGCTGTCTTTCATAAGAGACCAGAACAGAGGTTGTATCTTAAGGCTCCCTGGTATAGGTTTTCAGCCTAGTTGAACTTATGTAAATTTAAGAGCAGAAGTCCAGAACAAATTTTAGTACAACTGGTTCTGTGAAGACTGATACAGCATACCGGTATTGACCTCATTTGAACTGGATGGCCATTTAATTAGATGTTTAGCTTGATTGGTTATGATTTGGATGTTGCTCAGGAATGTAACTATTCCAAACCAGATGCAGGTGGAGTTTCCAGGGCATGAACTCTTTGGACATCCTCCTGGATACTGGGCTTATGAGTTATCTTACTCCATTTAAGTCTAGTAGAACTCAATTGCTGTTCCAGATCCCCAAAACAACAATTACAATGTCCCAGTTTAATCACCACTAAAACAACTAGGATAGCATCCCATCACCTATCATTTACAAATGCATAGCCACTGACAACAGCACTGCTTCTCACTGAGTCAGGCATTCCAAGGGTTCACTATCACTGATATTTACCCTTTTATTCTAGCCAGGTCTCCCTGATTGGATCAGATCAATAGCCCCAAGCAGGGAACTCATTCTATGAGGTCCAGCTGGCTGACCTTGTTAGTTACCACAATCACCATCTATTTCCTTCTCCCTCAAATGCTAATCTAGCTACCCTGTAAATGCATCTGTATTACTTGTTTCAACCACTCCAAAGTTACATGTTTACCATGCGTTAGGCAAAGTAGCTTTCAAATCTCCTGTTGGATTTCTTCATGAAGGAGATAACGTTGTGAAGCAATACAATGCTGTTGATGTTCAGCTTCCAGTTTCTTATCGGATGTCCTTACCATATTTGTCAATCTGTCCTATTTGAGACATGGCAATACCTCAGTATGTTAACAATGAAGACAACTTCACATTCTTGTCCTCAGATGTATCTGCACAATGTTAAGTAAGGACAAGATGTAGTTTAGCGTTCTTCGCTTCACTAACAAAGGTCCTTCATCTCAAGTCACCTACAGGGGTACCCCCACAGGGGTAGTGTGCTCAAAACCAGCTCAATAGCTTTGAGGCTCATAACTAAGTAATCAACACCTAAGTTAGTTTTATAATTTACTGAAAAAACACCTGAATGGGTAGTCCAGTTCCATTGACATTGAGTTATAGTACCAATGATGACTGAAGCATGCAGAATTTACATGAACTTCTTTAATTAGCAAAACACATGCCAGTTCTGATTTTCTTGGAAAGATGTGCAAAAGGAGTTCACTATCTTGTCACAAGTTGGAAATATTTTTAAAGCACTTTGAAAATGTGCAACATAGAAGTTTCATTTTTTAAAATGTATTTGTTCACAGGATGCTAGCATCACTGGGCTATGGTTCACCCTTAATGGACCTGATGAATGTGGTGAGCTGCCTTCTTGAACTGGTGCAGACTTTAGAGAAAGCTGTCCAAAACAAAAGCATCTGGCATGAACATGATTGGCTGGCTAATAGGTAGAGATTCATCCTAAATAAACATCTATGCAAAAAATTTAACCCATTTAGACATTCCATATTAAGCCTGGTCCCAGTGACATTATTCACCTGTAACTGTTTAGTAGTTCAGAACCTGAACATTAATAAAAAGAAATACAAAGGTGAAGGTTTTCATTGTGCATTCATCCGGCCTGACACATGAGAAACCAATCCATGAAAGGAGCATCAATTTATAACAGTACAAGAAAGTGGTGCTGATTAGTTAGAGCAAAATTGGCATGGAGATACAGCAGGAACGAGCAATTTTAGTTAAATGAAATAAATCAGACCAGGTGAGTAGACTCTGATTGGTCATGGGGAATGTAACGGTAATTAAAAGTCTCCATCACCTTTTTCTGAATAAAAATGTATGGAGAATTCATTTTGTTTACAAAGAACAGAACAGGGTTAATCTCTTTAGTTTACAGCATATGTAAATACATCACACAGAGCCTGAAAATCCTCAATTTTTGGTGCAATTCTTAGTACAGCCCAAATTCATTAGTAAACGTTGTCCAAATGCTCAAGTACATCTCAGTTGGACAGTGTCTGAGGTTTGCAAGCATGGGCTGGTTGAGTATGAGTGACACACTGCCAACGATTGAAGGAGGTGTTGTCGATATGGGACATATGGCCTACACGCCTAGTATCACACTAGCACTGAAACTCACATCACATTACTCATTTCCGTGGTAGGTAAGAGGTCTTTGGCTTGATGGCAGCTTGTTAATGGAGAAAAATAGCAGCACCAGACAGATGGTTTCATCTGTCGTTCAAATTTTTTTAAACACTTTACACTTCTATGATAATCAGAGGTAGGCTGGTAACCATTCAGGGCCAGAAATGGCAGCTATAGACTCTATCATGAGTTTCTGCAATACATTTGGTGGTGGTGGGGGGGAAATGGGTGATGTGAAAAAATGAAAACCTTTTTCACACGAGCTGTTAGAGTAGGGAAGGCACTACCTGAAAACGTAGAGGCCAGTTCAATTTAGGCAATAAAGATGGCATTGGATGCATTTTTGGGTAACAATAGTGTATAAGGGCTTGGGGAAAAGGGAGCAGATTGGCAGTAAGTAACAGAGCCAGAACAGGTATGATAGGCTAACTGGTCTCTTCTGCACTGTAATAACGCTGTGATTCTGTGATATAGCAAGTGAGGATTTGATCAATGTAGCCATCATCACACAGGATAGTTTTAATATGTCCTTTCTTCACATTAGGCTTACATGGTAAGTGAATGGTAATGGCCTTATTCAAAAGGTTGACAATAGACTAACTGTGTACCATGAGGAAATGTATGTACTGAGCACTGCTTATAGGAATGCGAGAATAGTTAAAAAAATCGCCAATTGGTGTTCTATTACTAACACATTGAGGAAATCATTGCTCTACTTCAACAGGAGCGCATGGAAATTATTCATCTTTTATAAACAAAGACTTTGAAACAGCTGCAGTTTAAAATACTGCAAACATGTCCTCCACGTGGAGATGTCATAGAGACTGCTAATCCCGATGACAACACCCTAACCAAGTCCTCCTGCCTTGTCTGGGACATTTTTTTTTGAAGTGCACCAAGATTCACATTATTCCCGCTGCATCACTGAAATTATGGTACAACCAATCAGCATCACTTCCCATACTGTGCGATGTTCCCTGTCCAAGTGTGATTTCAAGCAATCAACAGAACTGTCACAAGACAAGAACATTTCTGCTTTATGTCTTTGATTTTAAAAACAGTATTTCAGTTCTGTATTACCAAGAAATAATTTAACTGATATCATACTTCACTCTATTATAAATACAGATCCCTCACATCTAGAGCAGATAATCATAGGTATTGAAAGCTCAAAGCTTTTTGGAGCAGAAAAAAACAAATCAAGTTTAGTCAGGAATGTTCACAACTTGGCTGTGAACTAAAACTTCAGAAGTAACACAATAAAGTGCTCAACAAAAGATATTTTAAGATTGGAACAGAAATGATCAATTGTTCTGATGGATGAACAGCTTCAATCATCAAAATTAAAAAAAAAAATCATACACCAACCATGAAAATTATTGAAATCCAAATAACAATGAATTTAATAAATATCAAAAATGAACTGCCTTAAACTAGCTCAGAGATAGTAAGAACTGCAGATACTGGAGTCAGAGATAACACAGTGTGGAGCTGGAGGAACACAGCAGGCCAGGCAGCATCAAAAGAGCAGGAAAGTTGACGTTTCAGGTCAGGACCTTTCTTCAGAAATGGGGAGGGGGAAGGGAGCTCAGAAATAAATAGAGGAGGAGTGGGGCTGGGGAAGGTAGGTGGGATGGTGATTGTGAGTGCAGGTAGGCAGTGGTGGGGATTGGTCAGTGAGGTGTTGGGGGCAGTAGGTGGGAGAGAGAATGGACAGGTTGTGTCAGGTCAAGGAGGCGGGTATGAGATGGAGGGTTGGTCATGGGATGAGGCTGGGGGTGGGGAGATTTTGAAACTGATAAAAGTCTGCCTCAGCAACCTAAAGCCCAATGGTCTAAATGTGGATTTTATCAGTTTCAAAATCTCCCCACCCCAGCCTCATCCCATGGTCCAACCCTCCCTCTTATCCCCACTTCCTTGACCTGACACAACCTGTCCATCTTCTCTTCCACCTAACCGCACCCCCCCCACCTCACTGATCAATCCCCACCACTGCCTACCTGCACTCACCTATCACTATCCCACCTAACTTCCCCAGCCCCACTCCTCCTCTATTTATTTCTGAGCTCCCTACTCCCTCCCCATTTCTGAAGAAGGGTCCCGACCCGAAACGTCAACTTTCCTGCTCTTCTGATGCTGCCTGGCCTGCTGTGTTCCTCCAGCTCCACACTGTGTTATCTATACTTTAAACCAGCTATTGCTTTTTAATATTAAAGTTTACCACTTGATCACAAGTACAAAAGGCATTGATGGTTCATTTTCTAAGTGTCTCTATCCCTCTTATCAATGCATTTCAACTTTGAAAGGAAATGGCTCAGATATACATAAAAATTCTAATTTTAAGTCCCAAAGAGTTTTTTGGTTTAAATTTGGTTTAATTTTTTTTTTAACAGGTTTTACAGTGGTCCCCAAGCAGAACCCGACCAATCCACAAAGTCATTTGGTGAGGGAATTAAAAGGATGCTTTAAAGGAGAAAGAAAATCAGTAGCAATGTTTGAAAGCATAATTAAAGTGGTATTATGGATTGGTAGGAAACAGATTCAGACACACATCAAGACATGTGTCAAACAAAAAATGTTGGACTCCAGCTCTACTTGTCCAACTGCCACAGCCTGGACAGGGTCTCACCCTGTCACAGAAAGCAGCCTTGAGCAGGGCTGAGAAAGAGAATCAAAAGAATAAAATTGTTTTCAAAGCCACCATTATCCAGTACCATTGCAAAAAACAAATTTTAGCAGCTTTTAAGTTGCACCTTTATATACACACAAACTACATACACCTGAATCGAAAGATAGCCAACCTTTGTAATATATATTGTTAATATAATTGATGCTTTTTAAAGTAAGAATAAGGAGAAGGAATAGAACATAAAAAAGATTGAAGATATGCAAATGCCACATACTGACATATCTATACTCTTCAGTCATCATTAGATGAATTAGAAAGACTACATCAGAAACATAACTGCTCTTTCAATTTAAACAAACACTGCAACTCTAACAGCAATGTTAAAAATGCCCCTCTCTCAAAAGACATCATATTGTCGATTTGGAAAAGAGTGATTGAAGTCCAAGTCAATACTGTGATTGAAACTACAGTCTCCTTCTACATCAACTCCCTCCACACAAAAGCAAATGATCCACTCTAGCTATCTCCTCTATGTCCCAAGAACGTCAGGGCAGCACGATGGCTCAGTGGTTAGCACTGCTGCCTCACAACGCCAGGGACTCGGATTCGATCCAATCCTCGGGCGACTGACTGTGTGGAGCTATCTCCCCGTGTCTCTGAGAGTACTCCCGTTTCCTCCCACAGTCCAAAAGATGTGCAGGCTAGGTGGATTGGCCAGGTTAAATTGCCCATAGTGTTCAGGGATGTGTAGATTAGGTGGGTTATGACGGATGGGTCTAGGTGGGATGCTCTGAGTGGTGGTGTGGACTGTTTGGACCGAAGGGCCTGTTTCCACACTGTAGGGATTCTACGATATGAACATAATCAACTAAAGAATAGTACTACACTTCCCATAAGCTAAGGGAAAGTACTAAATGCCAGTAAAAGTGACCCCTCTGCTGGTACTTCTGATATCTGCTGAAGCAAAATAACTGAAATTAAAGCCCAAACCCACTCAGGAATGAAGAGGAAAAACGGGAGGAAGATACTCCGAGGTTCATGTTTGATTTTTCAATGTAGTGCCTCAAGGATAAGTGCTTGAACATTTGTATATGAACTAACAGCATGCTAGAAATATCCTGAGTTACATAGAGATATTTCAGTGGTTTCATTAGACCTCTGCAAAGCATAATTTCACTCACTAACTGAGAATCCTTAGAAGGAAAACAAAATATCACAGATGCTGGAAATCTGAACATAAACAGAATATTGCTGGAAGCATTTCTTAGTTCTGATGAAAGGTTACAGATCTGAATCATTAACTCATTTTTCTATTCACAGTTGCTAAGTTGGACATCCATCACTTTCTACTGAAATTCATACTATACATTGGCCAATTACACACTATTCAATGTTATACTTGATTAAAAGCAGAATACTTATATTTCTGGCTTCCCTGTATCAATTGAACGTGCACCTTATCACCAATCTCTCCTCAATACCTGCCTCAGCTCACATGTACTGGGCAATTAGTTCAGATTTATCAGACGGATACAAGTTGTTAGCCTCAATGAGGCAATAATGTGAAGAAAGCTGTTGCCAAATCACCACTTCCAAACAACAATCAATTTAGAAACCGCAGCTCAAATAGGACGGCGTTGCCTGGGCCTCATGCATAGCTTGGACACTTCCAATGATGCATCATGCTGCAACAGTAAAGTAACAAATTCAGTCACAGAAATACAAGCGGCACACTGTCTAGACTGATTCCATCCCACTTTTCTCAGCTGTGGGGTCTCCCAAATTTGGCACTCAATATCAGTGAACCAGAATTCTCTGGGATTTGCATGGAGGAGGTTTTTGCTTTTTAAAATGACTAAACCACAAACAGCTCCTGCATGGCAATTTTATAGGAGTAACCTTCAAACACCTTACTACTAAAGGACAACTGCAACCCAAAGCTAAAGCAAGTACTCCAAACATAACAGCTCTGTGCAATCTAAAATCAATGTATTGTGTGCTTTCTCTGTGAACCACAGCTCTGCTACAATCCAGAATTCAGCAAAGCAAAGGAATGCATTTTGGTTTGGCCAGTTATTTGTGAACTAGTTTTGCAAGTTAGACTGAAGAAGTAGGTTCACCTTTGACCTGAAGAATTATATTTAGTATGATCCATCGTGTAGAGTACCCCAGTACCAGTTAATGCTTTCAAGTTTTCAAGACAGGGAAGAATGAAGAGAAGCTCCCTACAAGAAACTAAATTAGTTGATTAAACCTGACTAACATTACAATGACAGAAAGATTTCACTCCTCCAACAACGCTGCCTTGGCTCAATAATCTATATGTAAATACGCTTACCAGCTGAAAGTTCTGCTCCTAAAGCAGGTTTACAAGACTGCCTACTAAAAAGTACATCACTTCTAATCATGAATGAACTACAGTGACAAACAAGTCTACTTTAACAGAAAAACCATAGAGGAGGTAGGGTAGAAGCAACCAGTTGTATGAAATCCACACAGAAAGGGAGGTAGACAAGTAGCCTGATTTTGTTTCTGGAAAAAGTAACTACAATGTATTTTATTTTTTTTAGGCAAAGAATTTTTTCTTCAAAAAGAAAACTTTACTGCAATAAAAAGGATGGAGCAAAAATAAAATGGGAAGGCAAGCATTTGAATTCAGTGTCTTCAAAAAGGGAGGTAGCTGGACAGAAACTAGTAGGAGATGGTTTCTTGGGTTTCACTGCTTAGGTCTCCTACTAACAGTATCATGTGGTTATAATCCATTCACACTGGTTATGGTACTGCAGATGCTTGTGCTGTTGTTGTGGGCACCACTACACCATCTGGCTGCACAGCGGGGCCTGGATCTGAAAAGAAATACAAGTCTGATTAGGTTTAACAGACAAAAATGTTAATGATTATGTTCTAAACAAGAACGCCATTTGCCTCTTTCCATGATACCAACTCTGCTCTCTTGCCAGCTATATCTAACTGCATTGCTAATGGAAACCTCAGCTTCACATCTCATTAGAAGGCTGGTAACTTGCAATACTCCTTCAACATTGCTTAAATATTCAATTCCTGATGTAATGCAACACAAAAAAAAAAATATGATCCAGAGGACAGAGTATTACTAAAGAAGTCAAACTGATGCTTGAAAACTAGGAAACATGGATCACTTAGTTCAATCTTCATCTGCCTTTTTTTGATTTAATCACAGGATATGGGTGTCTTGGTTAGGCTGGCATTTACTGTCCGTCCCTCACTGCCCTTACAATTTGCTGCTGAGTTGCCGTCTTGAATCACGGTAGTTCATGTGCTGTAGGTACACTGATAATGCTGTAAGGAAAGGATTGCTGATATTTTGACAAAGTAACAATGAAGTAGTGGCGATATAAGGGGAACTTACAGATAGTGGTGTTCCCATCTATCTACTGCCCCTACCTTTTCAGGTGGTAGGTCGTTTTGAAAGGTGTTATCAAAACAGCCATGGTGACTGATTGCATTATATTTTACAGATTGTGCACACTGCTGCCAATAAGCTGATGGTGGAAGGAGTGAATGTTTAAGGTTTAAGATGGGGTGTTGATCAAGTGGCAGCTTTGTACTGAATGGTATCAAAATTCCGGAGTGCTGACGGAGCTACGTTCGTTCAGCCATGTGTACGGCTATACTCTCATCACACCCCTGACTGAAGACATGTAAATGGTGGACAGATTTTTGGGAGTCAAATGAAGAGTTCCCTGTTGCAGAATTTCTAATCTTTGGCTGGCTCTTGTTGCCACAGTATTTATACAGCTGGTCCACCTCTGTTTCTGGTCAATGGTAACCCCAACATATTTACAATGGGGCTCATTCCAGTGCTGTAACTGTATTGGAATAGCTTGGCCAGGGTGTGGTTTACTTATGGAGCACACATCTTCAGTACTACAGTAGAATATTGTCAAGGTCCACAGCCTTTGCAGTATTACTCCTTCAGTCTTTCCTTGATATCACATGGAGTAAAGTGAATTGGATGAAGACTGGCATCTGTGACACTGGGGTCTTCAGGAGGAGACAGAGATGAATAGTCCACTGAGAAATTTTGGCTAAAGATGCTTATGGATACTTGAGTTGTTCTGATTTGCTGAGCTTCCTACCATGGAGAATTTGTGGAGCTTTCTCTGTTATTGTATGGTAGCTCACTACCACTCACAACTCGATGCAATAGGACTGTGGAGCTTAGATTGATCTGTTGGTTGCAGGATCATTTAGCTACAATGTATGCTACTAACCAAGGAAGGAGTCCTGTATTGTAGTTTCACCAGGTTGGTAACTCAGTTTTAGATACTGCTAAAATCAGGTGCTGCTCCTGATATACTAAACTGAATTCTTCATTAAATCAAGTTTCATTTCTTGGATGGTAAAGATAGGGTGGTGATAGGCTGGGCTATAAGGTTATAATCAAATACAATTCTGCTGTTACTGATACCCAAAGCACCTTATGGAAACCCAATTTTGAGTTGCCAAATCTGTTTGAAATTATGGTGGTCATGTCACGTAACAGTTTATGAGGGGGATTCTCAACGTGAAAAATGGGATTTCATCTCCGTGAGGATTATACAATGATCACTTTCAACGATGCAAACATGGACGGTGCATCTATTACAGGTAGATTGGGGAGGAGGTGGTCAAGTATGATTTTACCTGTTTGGTTCCCTCATTACCTGTTGCAGGCAGAGTCTAGATGCTATGTCCTTTAGGACTTATCAACTTGGTCGGTAGTGTTGCTACTGAGCAACTCTTGGTGAACACTGACGTTCTCCATCCAGCGTACCCCTCACCATCAAACTGGTATTCAATAGGAGGAGAACTGCTTCATCAGCTGAGCGGGTGCAATGTAGGAAAGGGATGGTAATCAATGGAGACCTTCCTGGGCTATGCTTGACCTGATACCGTGAGATGTTAAGAGGCTCAGAGTCAACATTACGAGCGCCAAGGGAAACTCCCTGCCAACTGTAATGTTGAGCCACAATTACTAGTGTGTCTGTCCTGCTGATAGGACATGACATACCCATGGATGGTGCTAGTGGTGTCAGGGACAGTGTCTGCAAGATATGATCTGGTGAATATGGCAATATCAGGCTGTTGCTTTACTACTCAATGGAATGCTTCACCAATTTTGGCAAAAGTCCCCAGATGTTACTGAGGACGACTTTGGAGAGGTCACAAAGCTGTGTGGTTGTTGTGGCATCTGGTGCCTTTGTTGATGCTGGGTGGTCCGTTTGCTTTCTTTCCTTCCTTCCTTTTAGGCTTTGTAGCAAACTGATACTACCGAGTAGCTTGCTTGGCAGTTAAGATCAACTACGTTGCTGTGGATCTCCAGTCACACATAGACCAGGCCAGAGGAGGATGGCATATTTTCCTTCCCTAAAGGACATTAAGTGAACCCGATGGGTTTTAACAACGACTGACAATGCCTTATGGTCACCATTAGACTAAGTTTTAATTCCAGATTTATTCGTTGAAGTCTAATTTCACCATTTGCCATGGTAGGACTCAAACGCCATGTTCCTAAAACATTAGCTTTGGTCTCTGGATTACCCGTGAAAACACCACAACACTGCCATATCCTCCCCTCTTGAAAACAGTCTTCCCAATTCAATGGCCAATATTCCTCTCTCAATGTCAAATGTAGATAAACTGGCAATTTGTTTCTTTGATATTTGTTTTATTTAAATTTCTTAAAACGATTCTTTGTAAGTGAAGCACATAACAGAATTATTTGCATAGAGAAATGAAGGCTTAATTTTTGAAATGAGAAACCTTACACATGCCATTGGTGGCAGCTGCTGGTCGTGGGCCCAACATGTTACCATGTGCTGCTGTTGATACAACGGTTGGGTTTGGATGGGGAGGTGCTCCTGATGGAATATTTGGCGGAAGGTTCGGTATCATACGGCCTGCCATGGGCTGCCCAGGCATCATTGTCCCAGCTCCTGACATCTGACCTATTACAACAGCAAAATCAAAAAAAAATAACTAGTAAGACTGAAGATTTATCAAAGCACTAATTACCAGAAGTACACAACCAACTTAGCATATTAAGTTCAATCTATTTATAGTAACACAAAATTTGTAAGTTGGGCATCCACTAAATGAAAGCACCACTTTTATGATCCAATGCCTACAAATACTTACGTTAATGGCTAACTTTACATGTAATTCAGCCTTTATGTTGCTTTTCACCAGAACAGAAGCAGCACAAACTGATTTCAGAACAAAGCTCCTTCCAGTGTCTCCGCAATTTGGCCCGTAAGAAACTGTTAATCTGCCCTTCCACAGTATGTCACTGTGAATTCAGCATTAATGATAATGAATTGGATATAGAATCCCTACAGTATGAATACAGGCCATTTGGCTAATTGAGTCCACACCAACCCTCCTAAGGCCATTCCACCCAGACCAACCACCCTACCTTATCGCTGTAATCTACATTTCTGCCAGGACTATTTTACCGAGACTGCACATTCCTGGGCACTGTGGGTCAGTTAGTTTGGCCAATCTACTTAAACTGCACATTTTTGGACTGTGGCTGGAAATCCACCCTGACATGGACAGAATGTGCAAACTTCACACAGTCAACCAGGCCTGGAATTGAACATGGGTCCCTGGCACTGTAAGTAACCACTAAGCCTCTGTGGGCTATGTACCCTAACACAAATAATTTATTTTAGTTTGTTTCTCATGTGATGTGAACATCACTGACAAGTTTATGACAGCCATCCCTAATTTCTCTTGAACGGAGTGAACATAGAACAAAGAACTGTACAGCACAGTACAGGCCCTTCGGCCCACAATGTTGTGCCAAACTTTAACCCTAAATATAAGATCTATCTATCCTCCACTCCGACCTTATACTATCATCCATATGCCTATCTAATAGCCACTTAAATGCCCCTAATGAGGCCGACTCCACTACCCTCTCAGGCAATGCATTCCATGCCCCTATCACTCTCCGAGTAAAGAACCTACCTCTGACATCTCCCCTATATCTACTTCCAGTCAGTTTAAAACTATGCCCCCTCATAATAGCTACCTCCACCCTAGGAAAAAGTCTCTGGCTATCCACTCTATCTATACCTCTGATCATTTTGTACACCTCTATCAAGTCACCTCTCATCCTTCGTTCTAAAGAGAAAAGCCCTAGCTCTCTCAACCTTTCCTCGTAAAACCTTCCCTCCATTCCAGGTAACATCCTGGTAAATCTCCTCTGCGCCTTTTCCAACGCTTCCACATCTTTCCTGTAATGAGGCAACCAGAACTGGACGTAATACTCCAGATGTGGCCGAACCAGGGTGTTGTACAGCTGGAGCATAACTTCACGGCTCTTGAACTCAATCCCTCTATTAATGAAAGCTAACACACCATACGCCTTCTTAACAACTCTATCCACCTGGGTGGCAGCTTTCAGGGAACTGTGGACATGAACCCCAAGATCCCTCTGCTCCTCCACACTGCCAAGAATCTTTCCATTAACCCTGTACTCTGCTTTCAAATGTGTCCTTACAAAATGAATCACCTCACACTTTTCAGGGTTAAACTCCATCTGCCACTTCTCAACCCAGCTCTGCATCCTATCAATGTCCCTTTGTAACCTAGAACAATCCTCCGCACTATCCACAACTCGACCCACCTTCATATTGTCCGCAAACTTACTAATCCACCCTTCCACTCCTACATCCAAATCATTTACAAAAATCACAAATAGTAGAGGACCCAGAACAGATCCTTGTGTACACCACTCGTAACTAAGCACCATGTTGAATATTTTCCGCCCACTACCACCCTTTGTCTTGTAAGGGTCAGCCAATGCTGAATCCTATATGCCACATTTCCTCCTACCCCAAGCCTCCTTACTTTCTGCATGAGCCTACAATGGGGAACCTCATCAAACGCCTTACTTAAATCTATGTATACCACATCCACTGCTCTACCTTCATCCACGTGTTTGGTCACCTCTTCAAAGAATTCAATCAGGTTTGTGAGGCATGATCTACTCCTCACAAATCCATGCTGACTATCAGAAAGCAAACTGTACCTATCCAAGCGATCATAAATCCTATCTCTCAGAGCCGTTTCCAATAATTTGCCCACCACTGAAGTAAGACTAACTGGCCTGCAATTTCCGGGGTATTCCCTATTCCCTTTTTTGAACAAGGGAATGACGTTTGCCGCTCACCAATCTTCCGGCACTACACCTGTGGACAGTGAGGATGAAAAGATCATCGCCAAAGGCCCTGCGATCTCTTCCCTCGCTTCCCATAGAATCCTTGGATAAATCCCTTCAGGCCCGGGGGACTTACCTATCTTCAAGTTCCTCAAAATTCCTAGTACATCTTTCTTACTAACATCCACCTCCTCTAGCCTACCAGCCTGTTTCACACTGTTCTCCCCTACAACTAGGTCCCTTTCAGTTGTGAATACCAAAGAAAAGTATTCATTAAGGACCTCTCCTATCTCTTTAGGCTCCGTACACAGATTCCCTTTACAATCCTTGATCGGCCCTACCCCTTTCACTGGTCATTCTCTTATTCCTCACGTACATGTAAAAAGCCTTGGGGTTTTCCTTGATCCTATCTGCTAAGGTTTTCTCATGCCCCCTTATGGCTCTCCTAAGCCCTTTCTTCAGCTCCTTCCTGGCTAACTTGTATCCCTCTAGAGCCTTTTCCGATCCTTGTTTCCTAAACCGTATATAAGCATGCTTCTTCCTCTTAACTAGTTGTTCGACCTCTCTTGAGAACCAAGGCTCTCTCACTTGACTGCATCTTCCCTGCCTGCTAGGGACAAACATATCGAGCACATGCAATATGCATTCCTTAAACAATCTCCACATTTCTATAGTGCTCTTCCCTGACAGCATCTGTTCCCATTTTCTGTTACCCAGTTCTTGCCTAACTGAATTATAATTACCCTTCCACCAATTATAAACCTTACCCTGCTGTATGTACCTGTCCTTTTCTATGACTATTGTAAGAGTAACAGAGTTATGATGGCTACCGTCAAAATGCTCTCCTGCAACAGGTCTGACACTTGGTCCGGTTCATTGCCAAGCACCAAATCCAGAGTGACCTCTCCTCGTGTTGGCCTATCTACATACTGTGTCAGGAATCCTTCCTGAACGTACTGGACAAAATCCGCTCCATCTGAACTATTACAACTAAAGAGTTTTCAATCAATATTTGGAAAGTTGAAGTCACCCATGACTACAACCCTGTGATTTCTGCACCTTTTCAGTATTTGCCTCCCAATCCGCTCCTCCATTTCTCTGCAACTATTAGGGGGTCTGTAAAAAAACCCCAACAAAGTGACAGCTCCTTTCTTGTTCCTGACCTCAACCCAAACTGACTCTGTAGACATATCATTCTCAAACTGCCTTTCAGGAGCTGCTGTACTCGCCCTGACTAGCAATGCCACTCCCCTGCTTCTTTTACCACCCTCCCTATTTCTTTTAAAGCATCTAAATCCTGGAACTTCCAGCAACCATTCCTGTCCCGGAGTTACCCAAGTTTCTGTAATGGCCACAACATCGTAGTTCCAAGTACTGACCCATGCTCTACGTTCATCTGCCTTATTTCTGATACTTTTAGCATTGAAGTATACACACTTCAAACCATCCCTGTGTCCACAATTACGCTCCATCGACCGCATTTCTTTATTAACAACCTCACTCCCTGTTGTGTCTGTTGGAAGGCCGAGTACCTCATCCTCTGAATTACAAATCCGGTTCCCCAACCCGTGCCAATCTAGGAGTGGCTTGCATGGCCTTTCCAGACAGCAGTTTGAATCAGGAAAGATTTCCTTCCCTTAAAAGAATAGTAGCAAACCATATGAATTTTTACAAAAAAATTGATAATAACTTCATGCTACCATTACAGAGACCCAACTTTATATTCTAGATTTATCAACTGAATTTAAATTCCACCTGTAGTTGTAGTGGCTAAGAACTCATGTCCCTACAGCATTAGTCTGGGCCAGGGGATTACTAGTCCAATGGCATTAATCACAGTGACATTATGTCACCACCACCTTAAATCACTGCAAGGGAGCAAGTTTCTCACTTCATTCCTTAAGACAGGCACATCTAGGTGAACTGTTCAGCAGACTTCACTAACAAATCCACTGCATTCCACAATTATTGAAAGATCTCAGGTAGGAAAGCAATGAAGCACTTCTAGTGCTGCCTGAAACTCTTCAGTGGTTTTATCTACTTAACTAAGGAAAGCCTTATTCAAGATTTGGAGCCGAACTCATTTGCTGAACAGTATCATTAAGAGACCACCATTGGTCTCAGACGGCAGAAGGGAGGAAGCTCTAAACACCATTAAATAATTCTGATTGTAAAACAGTGACTGCACCTATTACTGTAAAAGTGATATGTTACTAAATGTGCTGGAAAACGCAAAATTAAAAAACAGAAACACGACATTCTGAAATGCATTCAACAGGGTCTGACAGCATTAATGAAGAGAGAAAAAGTGTTAGCATTTCAGGTTGCGACCTTTTGTTTATTATGCCTGTATCTAAAGAGAGGGGAATGCTTCTGCTACATTTTGTGATTACAAATACTTCTATAGATATAGAAATAACAATACTTTGTTTGATATATTATACAACAGAACGCTTAGTCATTGGGACGAAATCCTAGAACTCCTTCCCTAACAGTACTGTGGGTGTCTTAGTTGTTGAACATGGCAGCCCGCCATCACTTTCAAGAACATGGGGGATGGAAAGTGAGCAATACCTATATCCCATGAATAAATAAAATTCTCTGCTTCCTGTTAGCTAACCAATCCTTTATCTACATCAATATGTTAGTCTCTATACCACAAGGTGTGAGCACGTACAGCAAACTTTGATGGCATACCTTATCAAATGCCTTTCAGGAATAAAAGTAGACCACATCTACCAGTTTCCCTCAATCTATCATTAACATTATTTCTTCAAAAAA